CCGGATCCAGAACCGCCGATTTACGAATCAGGATCCAGTTTTTTCGAATCATAAATTTAATAAACTGAAATCCAAATATTGGGTTCTGATCTGAATCATAATCAGAAACTTTCAATTCGATTATTATAGTGCTCAGTTCAGTTCGAACCGAACCGTGATCATCCCTAAGTATACGCAATAATTTGTTGGAGAAGAAAAATAAATAAAATATTTACTTTAAGGGTAGAAATGTCAATTTAATATATCAGGGGAAAAACTGTCACTTTTAAAATAATTGAAGGGACTAATGTACTTACATAAATAATTCAGAGAGAAAAAATTTTATAAATATACAACTTGGGGAAATGCTATTTTCCCTTATTATAAATATAATGAATTTATCCAATATTTCATATTTGTCCTTAAGTAATTACACAGTAACAAATGCTATCAATAAAGATAGTAAAATATTTATTACCACATATAATCACATACACCGCTATAGATTAATTTAAGTGATTTTTCATATTCCTTTCAATTGATTTAAAAAAGAGTTCTTGTTAATTTTGTTTCAACACAAACTTAACATTTGTGATTAACATTAATTTGAAAGGTAGGAATATAGTCCATGATAATTAATCTGAATACAATTAAAATTAACTTGTCCTAATCTAGCATTATACAAATTGATAGACTCAAGCAAATAAGTACTCACTTCTTCTCATTTTTACTGTCTAGTTTGGTTAACGAGATTTGACTAAGTATGGTATATCCAATCAAGACCTTTATAAATTTTTAAAATCTTTTAACGACTTTAAAAGCTTGATTGTATTTCATCTAGACTTTTAAACTTGTAAAGAGTCTTTAAAAGTATACCGATTTTTTATTCATACTTTTAAAAAGTTTTTAAAAGTATATTGGTATTTGATTCAAACTTTTATAGTATCTTTAAAAGTCTATTGGTATTCAAAATTTATTAAATTTTATAAACTATATTAGAATATGATTCCTGTAGACTTTTCCTTTACAAATATAAATAGTTGAAATTCAACCATCCAACCCCAACTTTTCAACTTTCTCTACAGACTTTTTTTTTTTTTTTGTCTAAATCAGACAAACTTTTTTTTATATATATATCTATTCCTATCAAATTTTACGGTACATTTCAAAATTTTCATAAATACTCATATACTTTTGATTTTTATCTTTTTATTTTCACAAATATATCTATAAAAAATCATAGTAAAAATTTTATTATTGCAAACAACTAGGTTTTAATACGGTCTCTTGTAGGCACATTTTTGTCTTATACTAGTTGATTTACCATACTTATTAGACTTATTTATGTTTATTGAGTTCGTATTTTTAGTTAGATTAGGTATACGTGCAAGTTTGATCACTGTAACACTTGCACTAACTTAACAATTTGAATTTAGAGGGCGTTTAATAGCCAAGATCAAATTTTCTATGGAATTTTAGTGGTGGAAAATAATTTTCAACTAGAAATCCAACTAGTATATCTAGCTTAGGAGATAAGATTATTTTTTTGAGTGATTGGAAATGTATAAAATTTAGTCATTTATGTACTTATCTTTTTTGGAGCAAGGTTAAAAGCGTCCCTTATAAATATATATAAAAAAAATATTATGTCCTCCAATTATGAAAAACAACGGCGGTATTTATGGAAGGAATTTACATCTTGATACATATGGCGACGTTGTGCTATTCTATGTGCTCTTCCATTTCAACATGTGTAGTATGTATATATAGTTGTTAACAATTCTGAGTGTTATACATATACATACATAAAAATATATATTATATACTCCCTCCGTCCCGAATTGGTTGTCTCATTTGCTTTTTGCATGTTTTTAAGAAATTTAAGTGAATGTTATGTGTATTCCAATTAGCCTCTCACCTTTCTCACTTTTGGAAATAAAAGCAATAAAGAAAGCAAAAGTCGTAAGAGTAATTTGTAAAAAGTAGAAGGAATAAGGGTCAAATAGGCCACCGCACACGATAATGCAATTAGACCATTGAACTCAAAAAAAACTACAATTAAGTCCCTAAACTAACACATTTCAAGCAAATTGTCTAATTTGTAGGTTTTCCCCATTTCTAGCAGGTCACCTAATTTAAAATATTTTTAAAAATAATAATTATTTTTTTTAAAACCAAAACAATAATTAATTAAAATAAGCTATATAAAAAAAAGAGTTTAAAAAAAGTAAAAAGAACATCATCTCCGCAGAGACGTCTCCGGCCATGGCCATGGCTTCTTCTCTTAGTCTCTCACTCTCTGCTCACTGTCCGAAGGCGAAGGCACCAAGCGGAAGAGGAAATTGCGGAACGCCGGAACTGTCGACTGCGAACTCCGAGTCTCCGACCAGCGGCCGGCGACCTGCGCGCTGTCAGTGCGGTTTGGCCTTCTCCAGTTCTCTCGGTTTCTCTGCAAAGTCGAAGCGGAAGTTCGGAACTGCCGAATGCGAACTCCAAGTCTCCGAGGACGACCCGCGCGCTGCCAGCTCCGGTCTCTCTCCCTACTGGCTACTCCGGCGGAGACGATTGTTTTTTTATTTTTTATTTATTTTAGCTTATTTTAGTTAATTATTTTTAAAAAAATATTTTTAAAAAATATTTTAAATTGGTGACCGGTTAAAAATGGGGAAAACCTGGAAATTGGACAAATTGCTTGAAATAGGTTAGTTTAGGGACTCAATTGTAGCTTTTTTGAGTTCAGTGGCCTAATTGCATAATTGTGTGCGATTCGATGGCCTATTTGACCCTTATTCCAAAGTAGAATGATGGTGATGTTCAGTTTTGGAAATAGGACAACATTTTGGAACAAACTAAAAAGGAAAGTAAGACATGTAAAATGAGACAGAGGGAGTATTAGACTTTTAATAACTTTGGTAGACTTTTTAATATGATTTAAAAAAAAAAAAAAGTTTATAAATGTTTGTCCTTCAAACTTGACTCATACAAAATTGATGAAAGTTTAAAAGATTCTAAGAAAGTCTAGAAATGTTCTATAAAAATCATTTAAAATTCATCACTTTAAAACTCTTTGACAATCTATAAAAGTTTTGATTGAATACACTCATAAGTTATTTTTAATTCAATTTTCATAATTTTAAGTTTTGTATTAGTATATAAAATAAAATTTATATATTTATAAATTGTATTAAAAGTACTATTAAACACCAAAGATGAATGAATTTGTTTGACTAATAAATAATAAAAAGAACAATGTAAAATGAGACAAAGGGAGTAAAACCTATCATTTTTTTTATTTTTTATTTTTTATTTTTTTTGCAACAAGAAAACATATGAACATCCTTTTCCTATATGCATTTCAAATTTTGACAAAACTAGATTTTCAAACTCAAACACCCTCCTACTAAGGGAGAGAGATTATATGCTATACAATTCAAACTCTTTTAAAAAGTTGAATTATACAAACAAAGTACACTTTTAGAATCAATTTAACATTCAACCGTTATCCATTTTGGATGTATAATATATATCAAATTAATATCTCACTTAAAAAACAAAAACAAAAACAAAAACAAAAAAAAAAAAAAAAAAAAAAAAAAAAAAACTTGAATCGATTTGATCTAATACAAATAGAAAGGAGACCCCATCATTTAAATGAGAACTTAAATCTGCATTGACCCAATCCAAATTGAAAAGCGACCCAACAGACATCCTTTGCTAACTTTTTTAACAGGAAATTGATGAATAATGATATGATTGATTTCGGCAATTAGGCATCTTTTAGCAGAAGTGAGATGTTTTAGATGCATGAACCAAAGATGAACCAACACTGCATAGTATTAGAGGCTATAAGGATATTTGCATATTCCATTGTCACAACTTGGAGGACTGAGTCATGGCTTTGCTACTTGCAAATGCAACTGAAAAAAGTCAAATACAGCTCTGAATTTGAGTAAGATATCCTAGGATACAACTACTGTGAAATTTAAAAGTGACTGACAATGTACAAGATGAAGCATATGCTAGATTTGTTTGAGCATCTATAATAGTGATTTTTTTTTTTTTGAAGAGTTTTTGTAAGTATGATTAGAAAAGAAAAAAAAAAATTGATCTGACACTTAAAAAAAACATATGCTCGCGCCAGCCATGCACGACAGTTTCTCTCACACACTCTTTTCAAAAACTCATTTTTGCATAACAAACAAAATTTGTTCTCTCCAACATGTCAGTACTCACTGTTTTAAAAACCACAAAATATGCACTGATTAACAACCTCATTAGTGAGATTTCTCTACCAATAATTATACACTTCATCATCCACTATTTCATTTAATTTCAAAAATTCTCTCCCCATTTTATGGACTCACCATTTAACTCCACTATATTTTTATTTTTTTCATTTTTTTTAAATAAACATACATGCATTTTAATTGAAATAATAATTATAATTATAAAATTAAAATTAAAATACTAATTCTTTAAAAAATAAAATACAAATATCGAAATTAATATATATATATATATATATATATATATATATATATATATACACAAATATAATAATTTTATTTTATTATTAATATGACAGCAACTCCGAATCGCCCTTGGCCGTATCTGCCTCTATTTTTTTTTCTTTGTTTTTTTTTCTCCTACAAATTGTTTTTGCAAAAGAAAAAACTACCATGAAACCCAAAGCCCTGTTCACAAACAAAGCCATTTATTTTGTCTATACAAAAACTAGAGAGCCACAAATGGTATTGCTCTTAACTGTATATTTATGAAATTAAAATATAACTTCAAATGCCCTATGCTACAGGAGAAAATTAAAATGAGGTTAATAAGAGCTCCCCTAAAAATATAAAATAAAAAAAATTAGATAAATATATTGATTAAAAATAAGATATACAGAATATATTTCATGTATTTGAATTTTTATAGCAAAAATTAATAGAGCCCGTTCCCATTTTAAGTCTCGAGGAAAAGGAGAAAAAAAAAAAAAAAACTAAATCTCAGCTAAAAATAAGAGCTGATATTAAAAACACCTTTCATTTCAAATGATCCATTAATACATAGATCCACACTCAATAGGAAGGACATGAATTTATATGGCTTCAAATACTTCCCCACAACAAATCAGGTAAAAAAATACCCAAAATTAGTTCAACATCTCATAAAGACCATCATCAATCATTCATATTTTCCCTTACGTACTCATAAGCACCTTCCCACTTGAAAAAAATGGTGACACCCAACACAAAATAAAAGCTGCTTTTCTGCTACTAAAATATGAAGTGCATTCCAATCGGCCAATGGATGGATTTACTCAAAGGTGTCATCATCGTCATCTGGTAGAGGTTGGCTTGCAGCAGCAATTAGCTCAGCCTCGTGCCTAAAACAGAACAAACACAACCAATTTAGAACCACATCTCCTACCGAATCAATGAACATCGCAACAGGGACAAAAATTAGGAAGGGAGACAAGGAAACAAAAACGTACTGCTGTTGTGCAGCTAAGTCAATTTGTACTTCTGGAGGAGCAAGTGCGGGCGACTCAACAAAGTGCAAGTTCGGATCCCTAATAAAAAAGATATTTCATACTCAATCAGATCATCAAATGCCACATTAAAACCAAAACCATTCAATTAAATAAAAAAGATAATTTTGCATTCAATCCGAATCATCATACATACATATATATATATATATATAGTTTGACTAGTCATACCCAGCAAGTTTCCTGGCGAGGTAGAGGAAAGGCTTCTCAAAGTTGTAATTACTCTTTGCAGATATTTCGTAATACTGCAAATTCTTCTTCCGATGAAAGGTAACCTGCTTGGCCTTAACTTGCCTGTTCTTCACATCAACCTTGTTCCCGCAAAGAACAATGGGAATGTTTTCACAAACACTAATCAAAAGAACAAAAAACATTAACAACAACCACCATATTAAAAATGAACAAACCTACAAATTTTAAATTAATATTAATATGATGTATACCGGCAAAGATCACGGTGCCATGTGGGCACATTTTTGTATGTCAATCTAGCAGTTACATCAAACATGATAATAGCACATTGTCCGTGAATACTGAAAAAAAAAAAAAAAAACCATCAGACGCTAACCTATCACAGCCTTGGCAAAATCTATACTATATTAATTACAATATTAAAGCATTGTAACTAAAGAAATGAAAATGATATCAAATTAATCACTTACTAGTAACCATCCCTAAGACCACCAAATTTTTCTTGGCCAGCAGTATCCCAACAATAAAATCTGATTTTTCCACAATTTGTGAAGAAATCCAATGGATGCACCTCCACACCTATGGTGGCTGCATCATACAAAAGAAAAATTAAGACTTTAAAGTGCTTTATAACAAATTTAAAAGGAAATAATCTTAAATCTGGAAGACTAACGTTCATATTTCTTCTCGAATTCACCAGTAATGTGCCTCTTCACAAATGTAGTTTTTCCTGCCGAATCCCATCATTGTGAAATTTAATAAGAAACAAAAATAAACTGAATAAACTCAAATTCAGTGACTGAAAAATCCCACATACAATAATGAAGCAAATCAATATAATAAATCCTAATCCTTTTGCAAACAGATCGAACCAAAACAGTATGACAATATTAATTGGAAATAAAAAACTATAGTAAAACCAATAATTGAAAATAAAAAACCATAATAAAACCATTCCTGTACAATTAATTCATCAATTTACACAAGGCTACATCAATCAAGATAAAATAAATCCAAAATTAATAAAATGAAACATAGACTAAGGAACAATTGAATTAGGATATATGCCCCAAATCAATTTCTTAAAAATAATAATAATAATAATAATAATAATAATAATAATAATAATAATAATAATAATTATTATTATTATTATATATAATTCAAAAACCAAACTCACCAGTTCCACCATCACCAACAATTACAAGCTTAAAGCTTGGGTAATCAACTGTCTGCTGATTTGGAAGTGCCTAACAAAATAGCAGAAAAATCAAAAATTAAAACTCAATAATGATAATTATCAATTAAAAAGAATACAAAACAAAAAGAAATCTTACCATAGCGTCGTTGCTTGGTTAGAGCGAGAGAGCAAGAGACGGAGGCTATAGAGAGAGCAGAATGATTGTCTTGAGAAATTTCGAGATTTAGGAGAGTTTATATATGCAGTGGGTGAAGGGTTTTTCAGAAAACCTAGACTATAATGCATGTAGCTTTATCCTAACGCGATATTCTGGACCGTCGGATCAAAGTTAGTGGGCTTCGAGTAGATCCTACGCAGATGTAATGTCACGTGAAAATCACGCAGATTCAAATTTTGAAATTTAAACCGTTGGTGGATATTTTATTTTTAGTTTATTTTGTGAGATTTATAGACTTTTCTATTTTTTACATTTAGGTAATGGCTCTATTTGGCAAACCTAGTTGAAAAGGTATAAGCTAGGAGCTGAAAGCTAAAAAGCTATAAGCTCAGAGCTGAAAACTGAAGAGCTGTTAAGCTAGCTGCTATAATTGAAAGTGTTTGGTAAAATTAGCTTTTTGATAAGTTGATAAATGTAAAAAGACTAAAAATGACATTTTTATAAAATTTAAATTAGTTTGTTACATACTCCGTATTAAAATTTAAGGGGTCGTTTACTAACTTGGAAAAATGGAGGATTTTCCAAAAAATGAAGAAATTGAGAAGTGGAGAAATGGAAAATTGGAGAAGTTGTTTACTAAATTTCTTCTTCCAAATTCAATCTCTATCTCCATTCTTCCTCTTTTAATACAAATTTGGAGAATAGATAAAAAGCTTTCTCCAAATGGAGGAGTGGACACGGGTGAACAGTAAATCGCGTGAACAGTGCACGAGGTCCTGGGATCGGATCCTGCGTGTGGCGCTTTGTCTGTGTTTTGTTCTTCCCTTTCTTTTCCCCTACGTGGCTACGTCTTCCTTTTTTTTTTTTTTTTCATTTCGTCCTTCTTTCTTTCTTCTTCTTATTATTATTATTATTATTATTATTATTATTATTATTATTATTATTATTACTATTATTATTATTATTATTATTATTATTATTATTATTATTTCCCCCCACCCCCACCCCCCACGTCTTCCTCTTTTTTCCATTTCATTTATTTCTCTTTTTTTTTTTATTATTATTATTATTCCCCCCCCCACCCCCCACATCTTCCTCTTTTTTCCATTTCATTTATTATTATTATTATTATTATTATTATTATTATTATTATTATTATTATTATTATAGAAATGAAAAATTGGAAATAGGGAATGAAAATTAGAAAATTGAAGAAATGGAAAATTGGAGAAATGGAGATAGAAAACTGGAAAAATGGAGAAATGGAAAAATGGAAATGAAAAAACAGAGAAATGAAGTAAACGACCCCTAACATTTTGTCTTTTAAAAAAATTAACATTTTGAAATAAAACTATTAGCATAATCATGATCTAGCTTCTCATAATAAAATAGCAATATTGTTACAAATCTCATAATAATAATAATAATAATAATAATAATAATAATAATAATAATAATAATAATAATAATAATAATAATAATAATAATAATAATAATAATAATAATAATAATAATAATAATAATATTTGCAGTGAAAGTTGCGGATAAAGGAGAAGAAAAAAGAGTTTTAATTGAGAATGGTAAATTATGTCATTTCTTTAAAATAATAAGGATAAAGATGGAAAAATAGTTAGGAAGCTAGGAGCGTAGCGTTCCAAAATAAGCTCTTATTTTAAGCTAGGAGCTTATTTTGGAAACATTACCAAACAGAGCTTATAGCTTATTAGTAGCTTAAAATAAGCTATAAGCTCCTAAATAAGCTCTGCCAAACAGAGCCAATCTCAATTTTGTCAGATTAATTCTAAACCAACAGAACCTCTTAAGAGTTACTGTAAAAATAAATCGCGAGTTGCACAACCAATTTAGTGGTCAGATTCTAATTTTCATGTGCGCACAAGTAATCCAATTCAAACCTTCCATCATACTTCAGTCTTTTTCCCATCATGTCTCTAGTGGGATTCATCAGCTTCATTTTTCTTAAGGATGATTTCTCCAAGTGAAAGTTGGTTTTAGCGGTGATGTTTTAGTGAGTGTCGTCCTCTAGGAATGGCTATAAGGGAATTGAGTAGAGAGATGTTAAACACAAGATCATCGAGTGTTTGAAAGCTAACCAAAATGGAAGTTTTGTTTGCATAGACACAACTATAAAACAACTAAATGATTAAGTAATAGACAATGATAAGTTAGAAATGTGACAGGTTTGGCTATGGTAAATCCATATTCTCATAGGTGAAGCACCAAATCCAATGACCTCTTGCATAGTTGGACCCTAACCAAACAAGAGTCAAACAATTCTCCAATTTCACAATCACATTCATTCTAGAGACATTGCAAGCCCTAGGTTTTTCAATTGTAATATATATTGACATTCATACAAAGCAATTCAATCTAAATCCCTAATTAGTTTAACTACTCATAATGGAATTAACAAACTAAAAGCAATTGAAATAATGCACAATGAATTTGACTTCAAAAGTAATTTATAAAGTACAAAAATAAGAAATAGATAGAAATCCTTACTTTATTGAATTTGTAGAGGGAGATTGGAAACTGTCACATTTCTAAATAGTCTTACTCTTGAGAAAGGGGAGTTAGAAGGAAATGAGCACACAAGATGTTTGATTTATTGCCTCACCTAGTCTAATTGCCATGAGAATGGGATTAGAACCTTGGTGAGAGTTCAATGTCCACGAGAGTGACATTGGCATTGACTTAACTTCCTTGCATTCGTTGTTGAACATGGTTTAGCCTAGAATCTTAGAACACTAAGAAACATTCGTACATTGCTATTTGATCTAAGTCCTCTCTTTTATCCTTGACTATTACTTGATCATTTATTTGTTTTATGATTGTCTCTATGCAAACAAACATTTCAATTTGGTTAGCTTTCAAACACTTAATGATATTGTGTTTAATCCCTCTCTACTCAATTCCCTTATAGCTATTCCTAGAGGACGACATTCACTAAAAAAAAAAAATCATCACTAAAACTAACTCTCAAATCACCACTACTTTATTGAATTTGTAGAATGTAAATTTGAAATTGAAAGTGAAAGTTGCAATTACATACGGTAATCTCCCTCTAAATCTTCTCCAAATATGATGGAATATAATGGAATTTTTTGTTCTAAAGGGTTTGTATGGAGAGTAGATGTAGAGGGAGATTGAAAATTGAAAGAAAGTCTGAAAATAACGCCTAAAGGCTATTTATACTTTTGGAATCGTGTCATTTTAACTGCTTCGAGAATGCCTGGTCACGATGGAGGTCACGGCGTGACCTTCATCGTGACCAGGCCTAAGCCTCGCAGGTCTCTACTGGTCACGGTGTGACATTGACCGTTACCACTCACTCTGCACAGTATCTCTGGTTTCTAGACCATTTTTCACATTGTAAACGTCCGAACGTGCCTTTGTGATTTTCATGAAAGTTGTAGCTCTTTGAGTTTCCTTTCTAATGCCACTTGAATCACGCTATTTGGACACTCCTAGCTCGAGATATACTCAAATTACCGAGACTTCGCCTGACAGAAAAAAGTACAAAGCAAAATGGTGTCACGCTGGCAATCACGGCGTGACCCATGTTTTTCACTTCAAAATGCATATTTCTTCATCTCCTTTGTTCCTTTGGGTCGTCGGGTAATGTCATGACACGTCCACTTGCTTTATTTTATTTTCTTGACCTCTAATGACTCCCGAAACTTGCCTTTATGTCAATATGACTTCAAAACACAACCAATTGAGCTCCAATTTACATGAAGTTACAACCAATACCTCCACAAATAAACCACCCTAAAACCATATAGTTTAGTTAGAGCATCCACACTAATCTTAAACTTTTTGTGATTTTTTATGTGCCACTTAGGAGATAGAACAAGGAGAAGAAAAACAAAAAGTGAAAAAAAATATGACAAACTAAAATAAAATATTAAAAAAAAAAAACAACAACAACAACAACAAAGGGACATTTATCGTTCAGGGTGGCTGCTAGCGTGGGAAACGCGCGCCCGCTGGGGCCGGCAGTGCCTCTTTTTTTTTTTTTTTTTTTTAATTGTTGACAAAAATTTTGTTTTGCAGGAGGATAAACAAGCGTAAAAACCATCCTCCACATCAGTAAAAAACCATCTCAAAATTTGTAGGCTGATAAAAATCCTTAAAAATTCATTGATATGGATGCTCTTAGAGTCAATAGTTGTGATTTTTGATGAATATTTTGCATGTGTGATTAGGAAAGAGAAAATGAGAGAGAAGAGAAAAGGAAAAAAAAAAACAAAACAAAACAAAATCTGAATGATGATGATGATGATGATGATGAAACTCGCATTAACGCGGTCGACTAGCCGCTCCTGATGCACCTCTAAGATACATGGCCCCAAAAACTCCACCAAAAACTACTAGTGGGGATACTCTTTGTAATTAGTAGTTGTTTTTAATAAAATGTCTAAAAATCAAACCTTGCTCACTACACTATTTGCTACAACCCCTAATACACTTTAAATATATTTTTAAATTTTACATTTTTTTAGCACACGTTAAATATATGTTTATATATATAATTATTTTTTAATTTTAATTTAATCTTCTAATTAGAATTAGAATTTGTTATAAAAACAATTTATTGTGAACATTATGGACATTGATTATGTAACAGTCGAAACGGTCGAAGCCATCATTACCTTCCGTTACAATGTGTGTGTGTGTGTGTGTGTATATATATATATATATATATATATATATATATATATATATATATATATATATACACACACACACACACACACACACACTAGTATTTTCACTCGTGCGATGCACGTAATAGATTTGTTATACTATATATTAATAATATTTGGATCAATATACAATTATTAAAATTATAACATCGAATATTATATAGTGCAATTGAAGATAAGGTTTGGATCATTTATGTTTGTTGATGTTTTCATTGCTTGAATTCGAACAAATAATTGCTCAAATTAATAGCTAATGTGTATATGTACGCATACAGTGCTGTAACTTTAGAGATTTTATATATTATTCCTTAGGATTTTTTTAAATTTGGCAAATGTGGTCATTCTCTAGCAACTTAGTTATA